ATTTTAAAATTTTTTTTTTTTTTTTTTTTTTCTTCCCCGTTTTTTTTTTTTTTTTTTTATAATAATGAACAAAGCCATGTGGGAGAGATGAAATTATGCAGCCTTTTTTGTTTTTCTTTTCCCAACACGTGTCCCCTCCACTACTTGTCAAGCTGATACTTGAATTGTTTTTTTCTTTACAGCATGTTCAGGGATTACCAAACAGTCTGTTTAGATGCAACAATCTGATCCAAACAGAAGTGTAATTTTTTTTTTAATGCATTTTAATTGGTAAAATAAAGATGAAACAAGATGAGAAAATTTGGTATGGATGTTCAATATATAAATCACTGTTTTTACAACCTAACAATGTTTTCCCATGATGGGTATTATGCATATTTATTTAATCATGAGGGGGGGAAAATCAAAGCTTTATCATTAGGTAGGACAACAAATAGTGACCTGCTCGTGTGGTTTTGCTATTTAAAGTGTTACTGTACGGTGTAAGAGCTCCGAATGTTCAGTGTACCACTGTTGCTTTTAATAAAGTGACACACCAGCATTTATTTGGCCTTATTTCATGTGTGCTTGGGCATGAATATGTGGAACAAAGAACATTTGTCATCAGGCTTGTATTTACTAAAGGCCATCCTCCAGTTTAAAATTAAAACCATGATGTACAAATGAACGATGCTGGATTTAATTAAATTTTTTCTGGATTGGGAGTTTATGGAGAAAAATGTCAACCTTTATTTCGGTTATAGCTGATAACTCTAATGGTTACACATCAATGTTCAGTTTCTTATTTTTTTGCTCAAGGCCTGAGCTCTGCTTTTTCCTGAATATCAGTTGAATTCACACGGTCACTATTTGTGTTTTTTGAGTTGTGGTTGGCACTGAATGATGACATCGGAAATGAATACTTATGCATTGATTCATAAACGTCTCTTACTATTCAGGAATGAAGAAAACCATGCTTGCAATCCTTAATTAGAAATGAATTCTTAGAAAATGCTTTGGTTTTAAGAGAATATACTGTAACGGTATATGAGATCCCCCCCATAAATGATGCTTCGTAATGTACTTTTTAAAGTTGTTAATTTTTTATCTTGTTTTTCTGTAGTTCTTATGTATCTCATTCGTATTGTGAAATGCTTTCCATAGGCTGTTATTGTATTATTGATGCCATGTTGGAAACATTTTCTAATAAAGAATGAAGAAAAAAAATCCAATTTGGAGATCAAGTTGCATCTACAGTACAGTTCAAAAATATTTAAGAAATTGTATATTCAGCAAGTGACAAAGACATTTGGCAGCTGATAATTTATGTTTTAAATAAAAAGCATCCAGTTAGCGGTGGTTCTGTGGGCAAAAATGCCTTGTTGTTGCCAGAGGTCAGAGGAGAATGACCAGACCAGTGTTGCCAAGTCCGCGGTTTTCCCGCGGATTGGGCTACTTTAAAAGGGTCCTATTATGCTCTTTTACAAAGTCTTGATTTTGTTTGGGGGTGTACTAGAACAGGCTCTCATACTAGGTTGTTCGAAAAACATTCTTTTTCACATATTTTACATTATTACAACACCTCTCTCCCCAGTCTGGCATGAACGGCTCGAATAGTTCCTGTATCAAATGAAGGCCCGCCTTCTGAAATACGAAATGTGCTGTGATTGGTTAGCTGGGCCAGTATGAGCTGTGATTGGCAGCACTCGGCGCCTGGTCGGGAAATGTCACGTCTCTTACCATAGCCGCCAGCGAGCTTCGGTGTAAATATTGTCAAAATCAAATCAATCTGATCATGATTTAAACCCGGATGATTGAAACCACTCTAAGTTCGTCTGCTTTGGGAAAGCTAGCGTGTATGTGACATAGTGATGATAACACTCGTTGCCTTCTCTAGTGCAGCTCAACCAGGTGTCGTCCCATTTGTCAATACTTGTGATATCACAAATCCCGGAAAATATGCGTTGTAGTCCAAACGAGTCGTTCGTTGTAGTTTTTGAAAAGTGATTTCTGTTAAATAAAATATCTCCTTTTGAATTGGACTTTGAGCTTTGTAACTTTGCAGTTCTTTTTTATGCTCAAACAACAGCATTACAGACTAACTAAAGTTGAAAAAGTGAAAAAGCATAATAGGACCCCTTTAACATTGTTGCTGTGGGTTGAAGCGCACCCAATAACGTGACATTCAGCCCCTGGATTGCGAACTTTACAGGAGGAACCCCGCTGAAAAACATGTTTTTTTACCCTTCAGAATGCGATTTTTAGCGAGGAATCTCCTCTTGAAACGCCACTGGGCTAGATTTGAGTAGCAATTGGGAGGGTTTTGTTGTGAAAACCTGGCAACCCTGGACCAGACTGGTTCAAGCTGATGGAAAGGCAGCAGTAACTCAAATAACCACTTGTTACAACAGAGATATGCAGCTTCTCTGAACGCACAACAATATCATACACTACTCAAAAAAATGAAGGGAACTCTTAAATCTCAATGAACAAAATATTCCAAGGGTAGGTCTACTTGTGATCTTACAAGGGTAAATAAAGAACTAGGGGCCGTTGCATAAACATTTTAGACTAGCCTTAAAAAGTTAGAAATCAAATTTTTTTCATAACTTTTTTAACTCCGTTATGAAAAGGTAGGTTGATCTTCTTTGTATTGGAAAAGTAAGACTGATTACCCCTTGGCAACTGCTAGTTGATCAAACTAGTTCTTGAGACAGTCTTAACACGGTCGTTAAAAGTTTACGCAACTCGTCCCTGGTTGTTTCAATATGTTTTGTATAGTATTTTCTTTACTCTTTACTTCAAAAGCTTATGTCTGAAAAGGGTAATATTTTATGTATTTGAGGTCTGAGATGTGGGAACGGTGAAGAGAGATGGCAAACATTTTGCATCTAATCAGCCAATATTGTCTTAAATAGCCTGCATAGCACTTCATCTTTTATAACATGGGATTTTGACCAAATATATTCAGCCTTGATTTATGTAAAATGCTGCAACAAGAGCTCAGGTCCCACTACAGGGCATCGGGCCTTTATCAGGGTTGCCAGGTTTTCACAAGAAAACCCGCCCAATCACTACTCAAATCTAGCCCAATCGCGTTTCGAGGGGGTCCCCAGGTACAAATCGCGTTCAAGGGGGGAAAATACACGTTTTTTGGTGGGGTTCCCCAGCTGAAAATTCGCATTCCAGGGGATAAATACCATATTGGAGTCGCTTCAACCAGCGGCCATGAAAAACAACCCACTGCAACAGTGTTAAAGTAGCCCAATTCCACGGGAAAACCGCGGACTTGGCAACACTGGCCTTTATGTACATATGTTCACTGAACAAAATTATAAACGCAACACTTTTGTTTTTGCCCCCATTTTTCATGAGCTGAACTCAAAGATCTAAGACTTTTTCTGTAAAAAGGCCTATTTCTCTCAAATATTGTTCACAAATCTGTCTAAATCGGTGTTATTGAGCACTTCTCCTTTGCCGAGATAATCCATCCACCTCACAGGTGTGGCATATCAAGATGCTGATTAGACAGCATGATTATTGCACAGGTGTGCCTTAGGCTGGCCACAATAAAAGGCCACTCTAAAATGTGCAGTTTTACTGTATTGGGGGGTCCGGGGGGGTCTGAAAACCAGTCAGTATCTGGTGTGACCACCATTTGCACATCTCCTTCGCACAGAGTTGATCAGGTTGTTGATTGTGGCCTGTGGAATGTTGGTCCACTCCTCTTCAATGGCTGTGCGAAGTTGCTGGATATTGGCAGGAACTGGAACACGCTGTCGTATACACCGATCCAGAGCATCCCAAACATGCTCAATGGGTGACATATCCGGTGAGTATGCTGGCCATGCAAGAACTGGGATGTTTTCAGCTTCCAGGAATTGTATACAGATCCTTGCAACATGGGGCCGTGCATTATCATGCTGCAACATGAGCCGATGGTCGTGGATGAATGGCACAACAATGGAGTGGACATTCCTGCAGTCAGCATGCCAATTGTGGCATTGTGCTGTGTGATAAAACTGCACATTTTAGAGTGGCCTTTTATTGTGGCCAGCCTAAGGCACACCTGTGCAATAATCATGCCGTCTAATCAGCATCTTGATATGCCACACCTGTGAGGTGGATGGATTATCTCGGCAAAGGAGAAGTGCTCACTAACACTGATTTAGACAGATTTGTGAACAATATTTGAGAGAAATAGGCCTTTTGTGTACATAGAAAAAGTATTAGATCTTTGAGTTCAGCTTATGAAAAATAGGGGCAAAAACAAAAGTGTTGCGTTTATAATTTTGTTCAGTGTAAATACAAAGAGTAAGAAAATATATTTCATTCGTTGTAATTAACAACGTGAAGTGCAATAAACATTATGTCAAGGTTTCACAAACTTGGCTTCATAAAGGAAATGCAGTTTTGAGTTTAATGAAAAGCTAATAATTAATTCAATTATAAAAATGTCAAATGAAAATAAATCACTTTAAAATAACATCAAAATAAAACACTCACTAAAAAATATTTAAAAATATTTTAATTGTTTACCTACAAGTCATGTAACCATTAACCAATGTCAGAGAAGCGTGAACATGCAAATATAATTCTTAATAATTAAAATAAATATATATTTTAAAATCTCAGGGATACTTCAAGTACATATACATAGTGAAAGAGGTTTAGAATAGATGACAAAACTGTTTGGGAATGCCTGCATTACTTGTAAATAAGAAATAAAATGAATGTGTGCATTTTAGAGTGTTTGAAAGACAAAAGCCTCCCAATGACATAAATACACATAACCTACTAATTCAGATAAACATCAGTAGTTAATGCAGTGTTGAAATGATTTTTGTAAATCCAGTGGTCAAAAGCTGTATGGCCACCTGACTAATGACTGGTCTCTGTTTGAATGTCCACTGGAAGATGGATTTTGTCAATGTATACAAGCGGTAGGCTATTTTAGAAATGAACATTTAAAAGATGAAAAAGAATGGAATAAGGAATAAAGGAGAATCAATAAATGATTAATATTTTATTGCTATTGTAAAAAATGATTGTGATTTTATGCTACAGTAAAAACATGTTAATTGGTTATCAGTAAGTTTCCATACTATATACGGTGAATAACTGTAATTACATTTAATGTAATTTTACAGTAATTACATTTAGGGGTGTACTCACTTTTGTGGCCAGCGGTTTAGACATTAATGGCTGTGTTGAGTTATTTTGAGGGGACAGCAAATTTACACCGTTACACAAGCTGTACACTAACTACTTTACGTTGTAGCAAAGTGTCATTTCTTCAGTGTTGTCACATGAAAAGATATAATAAAATATTTACAAAAATGTGAGGCATGTACTCACTTCTGTGAGATACTGTATATATATATTGGTATTTCTCTTCTCAGCTGGTGGAAGAACTGTTTGTGATGAGCTATGATTCATCATGTGACTTTCTCATCACCACCTGCTTTTTGGTGGTTATCAGTATTACAATGGTTCAAAACAGATATTAGCACTTCAATATGCTGGTTTATTAATTTCACATCAGTTAATGAAATACATTTTTTTATTGTGAATTTAAGTTAAGTCTGTAAAACCTAAAATGTTGCTACCATATTTTTAACGGTGAAGTTCTGGCAACCACAGCTTGCCGGTATTTTACCGTAAATGTCACTGATTTAATTTTTTCTTCTTCAGTGTATGAATAATAGGTAATCATGTAACCAATAAAAAAGTAGCTGTAGTCTGATTACAAGTATTTTAAAACAATTTCATCTAATAACAAGTATTACATTTTTGGAATCGGATTATGCAATCCAGATTACATGTAATCAGTTACTACCCAGTTCATTTTTTTGAGCAGTGTATGTTTAACGGAAAGGGGGGTCTTGCAAAATATACATAGAGTTGGGTCTTCACCTTTAAGCAGAAATGCAAGGCATTGAACCTTGAAGTAGATGGGCTACACCTAGTGCCACTCCTGTCAGCCAAGAACAGAGAACTGAGGCTACAATTCACACCAAAATTAAACAGAAGATTGGAAAAAGCTTGCCTGGTCTGAAGAGTATGCTGATTTCTGCTGCAACATTTGGACGGTAGGGTCATGTGGCATAACGTGAAAGCATGGATCCATCCTGCCTTGTATCAATGGTTCAGGCTGCTGCTGGTGCTGTAATGGTGTGGCGGATATTTTCTTGGTGCACTTCGTACCAACTGGGCATCGTTAAAGCACCACAACCTACCTGAGTATTGTTGCTGACCCGGTCCGGTCCTTTATGACCACAGTGTACCTATCTTGTGATGTTACTTCCAGCAGGATAACGTGCCATTTCACAGAGCTCAAATCATCTCAAACTGGTTTCATGAGTTAACTAAACTCAAATGGCCTACACAGTAGAGCATCTTTGGGATTTGGTGGAACAGGAGATTGACATCATGGATGTGATGCTGACAAATCTGCAGCAACTGTGTGATGCTGTCATGTCAATATGGACCAAAATCTCAGAGGAACATTTCCAGCACATTACTGAATCTACGCCACAAAGTTCTGAAGGCAAAAGGGGGTCCAACTTGGTACAAGCAAGGTGTAGCTAATAAACTGGCCAGTGGAGGTGTGTGTATATATAAAAACCCATCATTAACCAGGATTCAGTACAAACTAGAAAAATGTTTCAAAATACTTTTTATTCCAAGGTATTTCATATTGTTCACCAACTCCGAATCACAGCTTGTGATCGTCCCTTTAGACTACAGAGCACAGTATATGCTGTAATGCTCAACAAAAAGTGCCTGCTAAAGAAGATTTGAAAATTTCTTACTCAAAAGACTGAACAGAAAACATGTTCTCATTTCTGAAAAATAAAACAAAAAACATTGTGTAAAATCTGAGAAGCATTATCCAGGAAGACCGATAACTACGTACTATGATTTGAACATTACAAGAACAAAGGCTTTTCTTTTTCCTCAACAAACTCAGTCACTGTCGTCATCAGATCCTCTGTTGGAAGCTTCATTGTTGGACCCCTCTGGCTCAGAGTCGTTATCGGACCTCTGCGGCGAGCCCTCGTTCTCTGAGCCTCGATCTGAAGCGGCGGCTGGAGATCCGGCCTGAGATTCGTCGTCAGACCCTTCGGAGCGGCTCTTCTTGCTCTCGTTGTCTGACTGCTCCGAGTCGGACTGCTGCTGTGGTCTCCTCCGCTTCACCGGGCGTTCGCTGCCAGACTCATCCTCCTCTGAGTTTCCAGAGCGCTGGGGGCTGCCGGCCTCACTGCCTGATTGGTTACGCTCCTCGTTTGATTCGCTGTCCGAAGCGATGCGTTTCCTGTGGCCTACGTCGTCGTCTGAACCAGACCCGCTGTCCCTGGGGTTTCTAGACATAAAACAGACCATTTAAGGAATAAATAAATTCTTAATGAAACAGAATTAGCAACAGATGATGTTTTCCGAATTGTGATGTGCATTCGAGTCTCACAGATTATGTTAAAAGAAAACAACACAGGATGGGGACTTGGTTTTATGCGTCAGTTGTTGATTAGATTTTGAGATGTGTGTGCTTCACTCAAAAAGATGAAAAGGCAGAATAAGATGAGCTTGTAAGGAAAGGCTTTAAAGGGATAGTTCACCCAAAAATGAAAATTCTGTCATTAATTACGCACCCTCATGACGTTCTAAACCCGTAAGACCTCCGTTCATCTTCGGAACACAAATTAAGATATTGTTGATTAATTCTGAGAGCTCTCTGACCCTCCCATAGACAGCAATGTAAGTAACACGATCAAGGTCCAGAAACGTAGCAAGGAGATCGGTAAAATAATCCATGTGACATCAGGGGTTCAACCGTAATTTTACGAAGCTACGAGAATACTTTTCGTACGCAAAGAAATCAAAAATAACGACTTTATTCTTCAACAATTCGTCTCTTCCGCGTCACCCTGTAGTGCGTATCAGCTGGACGTAAAACAACGTATGCTGTTCTGTGTTAGCTGCGTAACGCGTATATACGTTGTTTTAGTTCAAATCAAAGCGTAACCAACGTAGAAAACGTTTGGCGCAGCTGACACAGAACAGCATACGCTGTTTACGTTCAGCGGATACTCTCCAAAATGGCGCTACAGGGCTTTTTATAAAACAATTGTGCCAATATTCTATTGTAAAAATATTATTATAATATAAACAATCATATAATTATTACATATTAAGTAATATCATTATATAATAATTTATATCTTAATTTATGATTGGCATATATGTAATATATATATATATATATATATACAAGTAGACTATTGGAGACGTTACCTAAAACTAGTGGTCGACCAATATGTGTTTTTTGACAGCCGATGCCGATATCTTGGAAAGCAGGGTGGCCGATGGCCGATATAAAGCCGATATAATTTTATTTATTTTAATTAATATTCAAGAAATTTGAAATAATTAAAAAATTGATCAAAAAAATAAATGTGTAAAATATACAGTTATACTTTAGATAAAGTATTTTTCACGTGATAACAAATATTTAATAAAAATATAATTAAAAAGGAAGTAAACACTGTAACCAACAGGGCACTCAGTGTTCTGGGAAGTTTGTGTGCATTGGGAATCATATTTTTTTTAAACAAAGCAAAGGTAATACTCATTTTACATACAGCACACAGTGAAAATTACATTAATATAACAGTGGGCAAATGCATAAAGCGCAGCATAATTTGAAATCACGAGATTACAATCGCATATCTTCAGTGAAGCTGAACTCTCCTCCTGTCAGCATTCAATTCACACGGACCGACCGTCACGCAGAGAACACGCGATCATGCAGGATACAAATGCACACTTCACAAGATCTCACAGCTGGATTCGACTAAGTCTGCAAGGTTTGTGAAATTAAATGTTCATTATTCATTCAAAGATTTGTTTAAATGATACAAATGTGTATTTGCTGAAAGCTGACGGCAAACGAGAAAGTATTATAATGTTTGCCTTTCTATTACTAATAATATAATACTTTGTATACATTTTAATTCCTTTGTTTAACCGTTCCATCTGATTATTAGACAGATTTCTATCCGTATTAGACAGACAATGTGAGCACTGTGTGCCCAGGCGCTGCCGTTCTCAGCACTGTCAAAATAAAAGTCCCGCCTCGAACGCATCAGCCAACCAGAAAAACGTATCGGCCAATGGCGATATTTGAAAAATGCCAAATATCGGCCGATATATCGGCCTTGGCGATTTGTGACATTACATTTTATGTACTGCTAAAACACTGCTGGTCACTTTCAGAAGTTATAGTGATTCTTTCTTTTCCAAGACAAGGTATCGCATTTTTTTTTTCAATATCGCACAGCCCTAGTTGTTATTAATGTTTACCTCCTCCTCTTTTTACGGGGTTTCTTCTCTCCATCCTCCCCGGCATCCTCAACTTCACTGCCACTCCCAGATTTCTTCTTCTTCTTTTTCTTGATTGGCAGGTCCTCATCAGAGTCATCGTTGACAAAGTCATCAAAGTCACCTCCTTTCTTGCGCTAAGACAAAAAGTACATGAATATTTCATTACATGTTAAAAAGATAGGGTGTGAAAAAGAGTGTTGAAGCATTTGGACTGACCCGTCCACTGCTTGCTTTCTTCTTCTCCTTCGCTGCTTTCATGGCCTCTGAGAAGTTGAGCAGGTTCTTGGTCTTCTCCACATACTGGGCTCTCTGCTCCAGCAGCTTCTTCTGCTCCTCGGCCTCTTTGCTCTTCCTCTCCTCCTGTTCTTTCAGCATCTGCTGCCGCAGCAGGTCTCTCTCCTGCTCCTGTTTGGCACGGTTCTCCTTCTCCTCCTCATCTTGTTTCCGAGCTCGGGCCACATGGTATTGAGCCTGGCTTAGCAAATCAGAGCACTGCCTGAAAGAGAAAACATACATTTAAAATGATACATTTTCATCATGTCATTCAATAGCCTATCAAAAAAAGAAAAAGAAAAAAGGAATAAAATTGTGTTTATACACACAAATTGTATTTTATTGAATAAATACAATTATTAAAAAAGTTGAAATTTAAATATATAGAAAAGAATACATTATATATAACATATGTATGGATATATATATATATATATATACACAGTATATTCAAAAAAGTTATATATATAAATTATATATAAAACATCAATTTGTATAACTAAACTAAAAATCTATGTAAAATTAATAACATTTATAAAATACATCAAAAACTAATTAAACATAAAATTCACATAACTGTATATTAAGCATGAATATTTTTTACATTTGCTGTGATTTTCTCATGACACCATGCATTTTCATGGGAGGTGTCAGATCACATCTGACTGGGGCATGCTGTATCAGGAAACTTCAATTTCAGAACAAATATCCCATATCTGGAAGACAAACCTACCTGGCTTCGCTCGCGGCCAGCGCTAGGTCGAATCTCATTTTGTCTCCAGCCTTACTGAGGTAGCTGAAGTACCTGTGAGAACAATAGCAGAAAGTTATGAAAGGCATGTAAGAGCTTCAAGCTGTAGTGCGCTATAGACTGGAGGTCCTGGAGTTCACGTACCTGTGAGCCAACTCCAGCTCTTTCACCGCACTCAATACAGCCTTCAGATTACTCTTCTCGTCCTTCAGCACCAGCGTGGCCAACCTCTGCAGCACCAGCGCCACATTAAACATCAGCACTGTGTCACTGGGAGCCACATGCCGAGCCTGAGAGTCAAAGAAGCAGAAAAAACTCAGAAACATGCACAAATAGATTCAAAAAATATTTGGGAACATTCTACAATAAGGCTCAGTTTGTTAACGTTAGTTACCTATATTCTTTAAAATGAACTAACAATAAAAAAAAAAACTAATTTGTTATATTTACTAATACATTATTAAAATCAAAAGTTGTATCTGTTAATATTATTGAATGGACCTGAGCTAACCATCATCAGTTGTATTTATTAACTAACATTAACAAAGATAAATAAATACTATAATAAACGTATTGCTCATTGTTAGTTAATGCTTTAATTGACATGAACTAATAGGACTTTATTGTAAAGTGTTACCAATATATTGTTTTAAATAATAAATCATAATACAATAATAAATAATCATAAAAATAAATATATGGGCATTAATCCTTTTAAGCTTTAAATATATGTACATTCCAGTATAATACATTGGGTTCCACTTTACAAGATAACTAAATAATGCAATATGTTAAATTAAATAAATTGTTAAATGCTATTTATTATTTAATGAATTATGCAACGTATAAATATTAGCATAATCATATAATTTGCATGCCATATACTATCCAGCAGCCTGATTTATAATTCAAGACAAAAAGATGGTTCGGCATTAATCCTTTTAAGCTTTAAATATATGTACATTCCAGTATAATACATTGGGTTCCACTTTACAAGATAACTAAATAATGCAATATGTTAAATTAAATAAATTGTTAAATGCTATTTATTATTTAATGAATTATGCAACGTATAAATAAATATTAGCATAATCATATAATTTGCATGCCATATACTATCCAGCAGCCTGATTTATAATTCAAGACAAAAAGATGGTTTATGGTTCTCTGCAGGGTTATTATAGTTAACTAAAACTAAAACCATAAAAAACTTGAAATAATATATATATATATATATATAAAACTTTTAAGGCAACATTTCTTGTTTTTATTCAGCTTAACTATACAGACATATTTTAAAAACAAAAACTAATAAAAATGACAAAACAACAAAATTACAAACTTTTCATTAAACTTAAAATGAAAACTGAAAGTAAAATAAATACTGATTCAAAATATTAATAAAAACTATCAGTGTCTCGATGTTGTCATGGTCACATGCCAAATACAATATTTATTTATAAAACGTGTTTTATTTTGATTTAAAATGATTCTTGAAATGATTTAATTAATTATCAGTTTACATTAACTTACAAAACGCAGTTTGGAAAACACAAACTGCCAAGTGATATTAGGATTTGCCCACCCTCAGAAGAGTCTGCTTGCACTCCTGCAGCTTGCCACATTTGAAGAGCGCTCGGGCCAGATACAGCAGCACCTCTGTGTTCTGATATTTGTAGAATTTCTTCAAACAGTTTTCATACTAAAGAGACAGACAAACAGGATTTGAGTACAGATCCAGAACAAAACCCTCCTCTTCAGGAGACAATTCCTTCAGTTTATTCCCTCACCATCTGCACTGCACTGATGTACTGCTTCTGCTCCACATAGATGTGTGCGAGATTCAACCAGACATCACTGATCTCTGCCGTGGCCTCTCGGACCTGGGCAAAAACATCCCGTGCCTCTCGGAAATAACCCTTGTGTGCCAACACAGCACCTGTGTCACATGGAAGAAAGATGCTTATGATGAAATTAACGGTTAACCACTATTACAATGCGTTTATACTGCTAGTTACAGGTCAGGATTCACAAAACTAATATAAAACACCTATGCCGTTGGCAGCATATAGATTTTTGGCATCATTCCTCAGAACTTGTTTGTAGATCGCCAAAGCTCGATCCTGGTGCCGCTTTTCCTGCAAAATAAAAATGTAAATAAATTAGACAACTAATTCTGATAACACATGATTTTTTTGTCAACTGAATGACGGGGGGCACCTTTTCTCGGTCTCTAGAGGGCTGATGCAGCGTCTGAAGCCACACGTTGCCCAGCGCCAGCATAGAGTAAGTGTCGTTCTGAGTGGAGGGCTGCTTAAGGATGCGTTCAAACTTCTTCTGCCCGGGACCCCACTCTTGCTTCGCCAAGTGAAGGTTACCAATCAGAGACCAGGCATCAGGGTGGTCCTGCAAAACACAATTTATTTATACAAATCTGAAGAAATCAGCAAAAACCTGAAAATAAAAATTGGTGCATAAGCCAAAATAATCAAAATAGGCCAAAAGTTGGATAAAAGGATAAAAATAAAAAGTGCACAGCTTTACTGCAGCAATATTACAGTTAACTAAAACTAAAAACCATTAAAGAAAAACTGTTACTTAAAATAAACCTAAAAAAAAAATAAAAAAAAACTGATCTCAGCTAGCAACATTTCTCATTTTAGTTTAACTTGATTTTCTAAAATAACAAACTGAATATAATTCATTTAAAACTATATAGTCATACATACATAAAACATTACTAAAAATGACAAAAACACAACAAAATGACTAAAATTTAACAAATTCAAATGAAAAACGAAAAATAAAGAAAACTTAATAAAAACAATGATACTGAAATAACTAGAAAATGCTTTACTCAGGAACAGCAAACGTTTCAGTCGCAACATGACCTTCATCAGGTACGAGGAGTCACCTTAAAGATCACATGGTTGCGTACGCCACATAATTATACAAAAAATTGCACATGATACATAATACGCAATTATGCTTAAACTTTCAGCATATGATAATAATATCATGAATAATTTCAATGATAATAAATCTAATCAACTGAGAATTATACTACTAGTTAATTTATCTCAACAAACAAGAACCATATAGAATTCTGAGGAAACATGATAACGTTAATTAATTGAATTGATTTTTGGTAACCATGTGACATGCCCAACCATGTGATCTTTCTTTGTTTTAAGGTGACTCTTGCACCTGGTATTGCAATTAGGCATTGAAGAAGATCACGTTGTGACTGAGAAGTTTGCCGGTGCTCAGTAAAGCTGGGGTTTATATCTCATATTAGCTTTTTTTTTGTTTTACTTTGTCTATTTGAATGAATACAGAACTAGAACACTGACAATATATGTTGGTCATATGTTTTAGGGTTGGGCCGATAGACGATGCCATCATCCATCGCCGATGGTTCATAGACATCACGATGTTGAGCTGACATCGTGATTTCCCCCCCTGCCCCCGCAATCCGCTGCATCCCATCGTTGGGTAATTATACTGTATATAGATTGCGGGCATCAGGGAGATGCTATAATGCCTGGCATTGAAACTGCTTTTGAATACACGATCGCTTTTTAGTTTCACTTTCGAGATTCGCGATCGCTCGTATTCTGTTTATACAATGGAGCGGCAACACTTACAACACATTTTACAAGATTAGATGTTTGTCAGTGCTGCGGATCTGCAAATCATTCGCCATCATCCTCAGTCATCTCACCTTACTCTGTTTATGTGGTAAGTGAAATTTGATGTACTGTAATGTAACAGGCAACCGTTAGCAACCGTTTTCTGAACACGGATTCACGCTTCGGGCACACCCCCGCCCCCCGATGTCATCGTCCATCGCGATGTTTCACTGTAGACATCGTCCGATGCCAATTTTGTAGACATCGCCCAACCCTAATATGTATAAAGATAAGAAATATCAACCTGATTGATCTGAAGGGCTTCTTTAAACCAGTCGGAAGCTTCATAGAAATTTCCCTTGTCACGTGCCATCGCTCCAAGACGCAAGTAACCTGTTACAGATTCAAATAAACCAACTGAACAGACCATTCCCTGAACAAAAAAGCCACACAAAATGAATACTGCGATGATGCATACAGTCCACATAGTTGGGATGCTCTCTCAAGATGTTCTTGTAGAGTTTCTCAGCCTCGTGGAACTCGCACATGGCTTCATAGAGTCTGGCCAGGTTATAGGAGGTCGTGACGGAGATGGCGTTGTAGTAGTGCTCATCATGCTCGCCCTCAGCTTTTGCCCTCTCCAAAGAAGCCAGGAAGTATTTCTACAAAGAAAATGAGATGTTTTCTGTGGTAATGAACAGCAGAACCGCAACATTCATTTAATCAGAGCTAAAAATCCCTCTTTACCTTTGCCTCACCAAGGTTTCCCAATCTGAAGTGTAAAGCCCCCAAATTATTGAGGATCTCAGGAGGAACATCCGCTTGGACCTTCTCCTGGAGGATACGAGTGGCCGTGCCATATGCAGAAAGAGCACCCTGCAGGAAAGATGGGTGATTCAGTGTTAGAGAGTTATATGTTGCATGAGTCCAAATACAAGCATATGTAGGAATAACACTGTTACCTGAATGTCTGTTTGTTCCAAAATCTGGGCGAGCTCAATCCAGGCTTCCACATCATCGGAATACTGTACTGTGATTTTTTTCAAATGTTCCTATTAGTAAAAAAAAAATAGCAGCCTTACAATCTCTGACAAAAACGTTTTTTTGTGATGTAGTTTTTGATATATAATCATGTCATACTTTAGCAATGTCTCTCTTTTCCTGGTCATCTGAGGTGGCGTAAAGTGACCCAAGGATTTTCATGGTTTCATAATTGCTGGGATAGGCCTTCAGGACCTTTTCAAAGCACTGTGCAGCATTTTCCTTGTCTCTACGATATACATACATCTGACCCAGGCCGAAGAAGGGCAGTACGAAAGTAGATGACGCAAACTGAGTGGCCTGATAGTAGTACTGGAAGGCCTGGTCATAGTCCTCCTAAAAGCAAAGACATGTGAAAGTTTATCAGCACTGGTGTTACACACTGCAGGAAATTTAAGCTGAATGACAGACGGATGTATTGGCAAGGTCGAATAATGTTTGGCTGATACGAATAATGTATCAGTCTTCAAATATTTTTATTTAAGTAAATACTACACTAAATACTTAGCTTTGTGTAAAAAAAGTAAAGAAATAAAATAAGTAAATACAAATATTCTATATATTATTTTATATACAGATCTACTGATCATTATTTTAAGACCAGTGTTGTGATTAATTAAAACAAAACAATTAAAAATAGTTTACGGTAATTCCTTTTTTTTTTTTAAAGTGGCGTTTATCGGTTTTTGCTAATTAACTTCTCATATGCAATTACATGTTATATATGAAATATACTGATTGAGAAATATCTCAAATGAAAAGTCTCTTTCTGACCTGGACGTGGAAGGAACGAGCTAACTGATAGCAGCTCTCCGCTTGCATAGCCTCCACCTCTGTGTTGTGAAAAGCATGAAGAGCCAGATGCTGCACTTTGCTGTAGTCCTGAAAAACACAAAGCACGTATAAAGTACAAGATCTCCACTTCGAAACTGCAGATCACAAGAGAGATCTAGCTTTACCTTTTTGAAGAAGAAATGATTGGCGAGATGATTGAGCACCATGGGATTGCTGGGGTCAATGGTGTAGGCTCTGGAAAGCAGCTGCACACCATTCTTGATGGAGTCGGCCTCTTTGTTGTTGAGCTCCAGCACAGCCAAACCCACCAAAGCTCCCACACATTTGGAGTTGAGCTCCAGGGCTCTGCCAAACGCCAAGCGAGCTTTCTCCAGTTTGTTGAGCTTGACAAAGCAATGGCCCATGCCTAGTCTCACCTCGGCTGCAATAAGACAATTTACACAGAAATGAGCTCTGTGAGTCTTGACCATAGACTGTAAAAAACAAAGATGGACGATGCATCTCCTATTCCTTCCACTATATAAAAGTGAAGCCAGAGCATCTCAGTATGGCCGCTGCTATCTTGAGTAAATGACGTCATTTGGAGCCAGAGTCTGCGCTGTAGAGATTTGTTTGGAGCCGGAGTCTGCGTCTGTCGTGAGGTGGAGCCGCGGTATAAAACTCCCGCCCAAACTCCTGCAGACCCAATCAACCATAACGACACGTCCCGTTTTTATAGCATCAAATTACTAGCTAAAATCAAACTTATCACAAAAACAAACAATTGAACATATATCAGTGTGATAACAACTACCTTAAAGGTGACATATCATGAAAATCTGACTTTTCCAGGTTTTAAGTCCTATAATCAGGACCCCGGTGCATCTACCAACCAAGGAAACGTGAAAAAGATTAACCCAATCACTTTGTTTAGGTAAGCCTTTTTCTGCAAGGGTTAGGGCTGGACGATATGGCCAAAATTTATATCACGATATATTTCTTAATTTCGGTCGATACGATATAATTCCAATATCGATATGAACATATTTAAAAAAAAGCCTTGTAAAAACTGCCAAGAACGCCCACAACAGATGTCTGTGCATACAAACTTATGAAAAATGAATTTGCCAAGTCTATGACACCTCATATAAAACCATATAATACTTTAGAAAAAAAACAGTACAAATAAATTAATGTTCACCTTTTATTTATTTAGCCTTCATACAAACAAGAAATGTGAAATCACTGTCAAATAAACATCTCAGACTCACCTTATTAATTATTCATATCTTCTAACATACTTTTTGCTGTACTTTGGATCAAATAAATGCAGCCTTGGTGAGCAGAAGAGAATTCTTAAAAAAAAACAAAAAAAAACATTAAAAATCTTACGGTTCAAAAACCTTTGACTGGTAATGTAGGGTGGCTGATTATTGTTATAGATTGAAACAAATGTGCTTCAGCCAGGATAAAGAATATGAAAAGTGCTCTGAGTTGCTGCAGAAAAAAAGAGCAACAACAAAAACATGTTGCTGGAGACGGGCTTATTGAAAATTGAAAAACTGATTGTCTGCCAGCTGGAGGTGCATTGAGAGCGGTAGAACTTGAGGTTTCTCCGGTAACGGCTGTAATCAAAGCAGCTCCGCTCATGAACTACTTTATCAGATCAAATGAAAATGTTGCGCTCAGAAAACCGTATATCTTAAGTTTAAACTCATACGGTTTAAAACGCATGATTTCAGCGCGATAAACATGATAATCAGAACCAAAACAGATGTTTTTAGCAGATACGAGCTGTAAAGGCACAGCTCTAATCTGGAAAAGGGGGCGGGGAGCAGCAGCTCATTTGCATTTAAAGACACAGGCCCGAAAAACAGCGCGTTTCTGCTTCCACTCAAAATAGGCATTTTCAAAATGATATAGTAAATGATCTGTGGAGTATTTTGAGCTGAAACTTCACAGACACATTCTGGGGACACCAGAGACTTATATTACATATTGTAAAAAGGAGCATAATATGTCTCCTTTAAATGACCAAAACCATCTTTCGGAAAATTGTATTGGAAGTGTAATTTATTTTTTTTATTTTGACTCAAGTCCCATTCGTTTACATGGAGAGGGCGGGGTTTATGACCTGTACTGCAGCCAGCCACCAGGAGGCGATAAAAGAGCCTGCAGCTTCACTTTTCAGGACATGTGAGGCACACCCGGTCTTGACCAGTCACTGCTAACCAGCAGTTTGAAGCACAGGGCCCTATGATTTTGTGATGCAAAAAATGTAGACAGAATCCAGTGGAAACCATTATGAAAATGGAATGTACAGCATAATGCGGAATTTCACAGAATGTAGCCAATTTTGGAAGAATATATCAAAAGTAGGACTGTTGAAGTAATCAAAATGAAATATACTCATGTATGCGTGATATTAATGGGATTTTTCTTTTCAGCGTATACCGTCTCACTATATGAGGACATAAACTTCATCTTCAGAGATGCTCTGAGAAATCACTTGGATAAAACTATAGTCATATAATGTACACAAAGAAACTAAAGGGTCTTTAGGCCAACCCGTCAAAATTAAAGTTTGGTTTAACTTGACAGAAATATTACAATTGTACAGTAGAATGTACTTCTCAAAGAAATAATAATAAAATAAAAAGTACATTTCTATCAATATTTTTTTCATTATATATATATATTTTTTTATTTGCATACTAAACCTTGTGCCAAAAAAAAACAGCAGTTGCCCAATTTTGATTTGTTTACATTTGAAAATATTAAATTGTTAATGACTGATGATAAATTGTATTACATCATAAATCCATAAAAACACCACAGAAATTCTGGGGGAAAATAAATCAATAAAACACTTAGTAACACTTTATTTTGATAGTCACATTTAGACATTCTCCTGAATATAAGAAAATGTGCAAGTATATCTCAAATTATTCTACTAACCCTAACCTAATAGTCTGCTAATACTCTAACGAGTTAGATGAAATGCAGCTAACCCTAACTATTGAAATGAAGTGTGTCCAAAATTTTAATAAATTATACAAATGTTAAAGTTTTATGAATTCTATTGATTTAACATGCATTTTGATTATTCAGATTTGTTTAAGCCATTAAAACATAATACAGAAAAATTCAAACAGGACAGAATTTTATGAAGAAATTCAACATTTTATAGGGCCCTAAATATATATTATAACATACTGTATAGTATTGAAGTATTTCATGTATATTTTGTCAAGATTTGATTAGAATAAATCGATCTACTGTAACTATCTAGGAAGTGGTCAGGTTTTAAGGAAAAGGCAATAGTATGTTTAACACATCTGGCAGACTCACCTGGACAGCCAGGGTTAGTGCGAAGTGCTTTTTTGTAGTAAGCTAAAGCTCCTCTGTAATCCTTTTTGTTGAAGGAGATACACGCCTTTCCTATTGAAGGACAGAAACATAAATAATCATTCATAACAAGACAACATCTATTAAAAGCAAACGCTTGGCATAAACGTGCAATAATCATTGGCTGCGATCTACTCTGAAACCTGATCCTGTAGAATGCGCAAGATTGACATGTTTTGAATTGGAACATGCAGCGCTCGCATTTAATTAATTAAATCAACTAATATGACATAATATGGAGTTTAATGATCAAATTAGGCCATATTGCAATTTGTGTTTTTCCTCCCTCAAATTTAAAATGCAATTTAAGACCTCTTCAAATGATAATTAAGTCTTCTGTTATAGCATTTAAGACTTTTTAAGACCTTAAATTTGATCTAACTGAATTTAAGACTTTTAGCGGATTCGAAGGAACACTGTAGAGGGTTTCTGCAGGTTTTATGAATGTAAACTTAAGACGTTTCAAGCAAAATTGAATAAATTAAGAAGTCGTCTTTTATGAGAAATTGATCAAAATGAAGTGAGTTTATGATTAAAACAAGAACAAATATCTATCACTGGGCTCAGAAAAATCAACTTGATTGGAAGAGAAAGCAAGTTTTCAATCCCCACTGACAGCCATGTATGCATGTTTTCAACAAACTCGCTTAATTTGGTTTATTTTCTCAGAAAACAAAACTTCATATGTTCAATTTGCATCTCAAGTAAATGTAGGTAAGAGGCGTTACATTTCCGACGCGTGCTTGTGGTGTTCGGCCAATCACAATGCACTGGGTCAGCTGGCCAATCAGAGTAGACTGCGCTTGTCAAAGGAGGGGACTTTGTTGAAAACTACGTGTTTGAGAGAGGCGGGGCATAGAGGACTTACAATAATGTACAGTATTTGAAAAATAATGTGTTTTTTGAACATTAAAGCATGTCAACATATTCTGTTACACCAAATAATGATCTTTAAAACAGCATCATATGACCCCTTTAATGATGATTAGATATTTGCATTGAGAAAAAACAAAAATAAAATAATAATAACATTTGTGACCCTGGACCACAAAACCAGTCATACGGGTCAATTTTTCGAAATTGAGATTTATACATCATCTGAAAGCTGAATAAATAATGTTAGGATAGGACAATATTTGGCCGAGACACAACTATTTGAAAATCTGGAATCTGAGGGTGCAAAAAAATCGAAATATTGAGAAAATCGCTTTTAAAGTTGTCCAAATGAAGTTCTTAGCAATGCATATTACAAAATTAAAAATGAAGTTTTAATATATTTACAGTAGGAAATTATCTTAATGGAACATGATCTTTACTTAATATCCTAATGATTTTTGGCATAAAAGAAAAATCTATAATTTTGACCCATACAATGTATTTTTGGCTATTGCTACAAATATACCCCAGCGACTTAAGACTGGTTTTGTGCTCCAGAGTCACATTTAATGTCATGACTTTACGAATGTAAGACTTTTTGCTCCAATTTAGGACCTTTTTAGGCCTTAATTTGTGAAATAAGACCCTTTAAGACTTTTCAAGACGCACACAAACTCTGCTGTGTTAGGGAAAAATAGAGTGAATTGTGATTTTAAATCAGACTTTTAAGTATATAATGATTTATATCCACACTTACCCAGGAGTGCAGGAATGTTGTTTGTTGACTGGTTAAGCACAAACTGAAACTGAGCGTCTGCCTGATCCATCTTATCTCCTTCCAGAAGACAAAAGCAAGCTCTTCCCAGCAGATGGCTCTGCGGAAATGAGAAATATCATAAGGCTGAAGACCCAACAACAACAAACACACAAAAAACTAAACGATAACAGAGATCACTATGAAAACTGTAACCTTTATTTACCTGATCATACATGATGATCTTGTCTGCCATTGTGTACAGAAGAGTGGACTGGTTGATGAGGTCCTTCTTTGCATCCTTGTTCTTCTCCTTTCGAGCCTGCTGGACATAATAAGCTGCCAGTGTGTCCAAACACGTCATCTGGTCCTTCTCGTGGTCTCTGTAATCGAGGTTTCCATCAATGCGCGCCGCCTCCAGCAACTTGACAAAATCCTCCGTCTTGCCTTGCTTGTAGTACTCCAGCTGAAAAGAAATAGTCGTGAGATTTCTGCACACCAGAAATCCTAAAAATGTCACCGTAAGCAAGCTTGTCACTCACAGCGAGTGCAATCCATATGTGCAGCTGTGTGTGTTCCTGTTTGAGGATACTGATGACTTCATCTCCTTCTGGAAGCTGGTCAAAGTCAAGCTCAATGACCTGAGAAAGAAACAACAAACTAAAGATCATTAACCAGAACATTAGAGTCCAGTGGATCTGGCTAAAACTGACAGTAGAGCTCTAATAACTACAACAAATATCATATAATAATATAGATTCAGTTAATATGATTTTTTTTTTTTTGTCATTTATTTTGGGAATATCATAAGGTGCACCGTATTTGGAGAAAATGATTTAGTTCATTTTTTTAAATTGAAATGCAAGATGCTAGAATTGTTGTTAATATGGTATACGCTTGTGATTATAATTCCGCGTTGTTGTCATATTCATAAAGTCAAACTTGAGTGAAAAATGTCTAAATGTAAACGTACGCAATATAATCAATGGCACTGATTAATATGTAGAATGTTGCTGTATTTTTTTCTTTTTCTTTTCTGTTTGGTTATACTCTAGTTTGTACAATCTGCTTGGCTATTCCACAAATAAATATAATTTAGACATGAACTTCATTAGAAAATAATATGATTTATGACTGAGTAGCCTAAGGCTCACGGGGTTATTTCTGACAACAGACTTTGTTAGTTTATTAATTATATATAAACTTATCAAAAGCGCGTGAATGATAGCATGTTAGCAGATGATAGCTATTCACAGAACTGTGATCAAATTCTATTCAGCACCGCATAGAGATAAATAAACACGTCCAAACCTCGTCTGTGTCCCGCAGAGGGATTTCAATGGATCCCCGAGACATGGTTGCGACTCGAGCCAAAAACCCAATATCACAGTTTTTGGTTTGTACTTGTTCGTATCCAGCGGTGATGATCAGCAGCGGCAGCCCCACACACTCGCCCACTGAACCTGAACAACAAAATTCACCACACTTCCGGGTCAGCGGCCAAGCGCTTCACATTAAAAGTCCTCGAAAATGCATCCATTGTGGACTTTTTGTTTCAACCTTTCTGTCGCCACTAAATGATCATGAGACGCGACAAACGATTAAAAATACAAATATTCATAAAAGTGTATTTAGATATAGAGTGACAAATTAATAATAGTAACAACAAAAACAACAACACATATGTGATACGTATACGACAAAGTACATGTGCCTTTAAATTTATAATACAATATTATATTTTAATATGAATGAATTTATAATATTAATATATCTATCTATCTATCTATCTATCTATCTATCTATCTATCTATCTATCTATCTTCATAGCAACACTCTAGCAACTATCCAAACCAACCCGAATACCCTAGCAACCGCATAGCAACACCCTAGCAACCACCCCGAGTGTCTTAGCAACCGCATAGCAACCCCCTAGCAACCACCCAGGGTACCCTAGCAACCACATATCAACACCTTAGCAACCGCCCCGGGTACCCTAGCAACCGCATAGCGACACCCTAGCAACCATCCCGGATACCCTAGCAACTGCATAGCAACACCCTAGCAACCACCCCGAGTACCCTAGCAACCGCATATCAATACCTTAGCAACCACCCCGGGTACCCTAGCAACCATCCTGGGTATCCTAGCAACCGCATTGCAACAACCTAGCAACCACCCCGGATAACCTAGCAACCGCATAGCAACACCCTAGCAACCACCCCGGATACCCTAGCAACCGCATAGCAACACCCTAGCAACCACCCCGGATACCCTAGCAACCGCATAGCAACACCCTAGCGACCATCCCGAGTACCCTAGCAACCGCATATCAATACCTTAGCAACCGCCCCGGGTACCCTAGCAACCATCCTGGGTATCCTAGCAACCGCATTGCAACAATCTAGCAACCACCCCGGATAACATAGCAACCGCATAGCAACACCCTAGCGACCATCCTGGGTACCCTAGCAACCGCATAGTAACACCTTAGCAACCACATGAGTATTCTAGCAGCTGCATTTCTATCTATCTATCTATCTATCTATCTATCTGTCTATCTATCTATCTATCTAGCTCTGTTAGACTGTATTGCCTTCAAAACATTCAAACTTTAAGCTTTTTCAGACAGAAAACCATCAAAGTTAAAACTTTTTAAACTTATTAAACTTTTTAATCTTTATCTATCTATCTATCTATCTATCTATCTATCTATCTATCTATCTTTCTATCTAGCTCTGTTAGACTGTATTGCCTTCAAAACATTCAAACTTTAAGCTTTTTCAGACAGAAAACCATCAAAGTTAAAACTTTTTAAACTTATGAAACTTTTTAATCTTTTCAAACTTTCTGGTTCGGCTTTCTCAAGCCAACTTAAAGTTTGTCTTGACGAACTTTTTTTTATCTAGTTTTAGATATAATTATTACTATTCTCAATACAACTTCACTACTACTATCATATTGTATAAATAAAAAAATAAAAAATAAAAAATAATAATAATAGTAAATATACTTACAATTTATAATTACATATTTATACTATTGTTGATGACAAATATACAATTATATGATGATAGTACAATATAAAATTATAATAAAAAGTTATATAGCTGATTAATAATAATACATTGATATTATATCATTTAATATACAGTATGTAAAATTCTAATATAATATTTTAAAGATAAATAATAGTAGCAGTAAAACATATTTGATATGATATTATATTTGTATCTAAATTTATAATATCATACAGATAGATAATAATGACAATAACAAATATACAATGACATTATAATAGTAAAATTGTATCTAGAATTGTAATACAATATGAAATAGGTAAGTAATATTAAAATAATGTTATTAAAATTAATATTAATATAATAAAGGAACAATGAAAGTAGTATAACTTATTGTACTGTGTAGATTAATAATAGATCATCTAAAATCATAATATGATATAACATTTTATGGAATAATAATAATAATAATACATTTTCAACATAAAAGGCTGACTAAGAGAAATACTCTGAAGGTTGGATATATGTTTGGTGCAATGGACAAGGACTATTAGTGGGTGGTTCTAATAGTGACAAGTGCTGGCCTTGAAACATTTGATATGGAAAACTGCCGAATGTTAATTAAAACGGTCCATTACAGCATTGTTCTGTCCTGCTAGAAGTACACAGGCAGTGAATGGAGGGCGTTTGGGGGAGGTAGCCAAGTCATCTGGTTTTGATGTAGTGTGCGTCTATGATGAAAAAAAGAGGCAAAGGCTCTCTAAAGATCAGCTGTTGCTTTTAGAAGCATTGAGATCTACAGGCAACAAGGGTGTTGCACATGCACCACAGTGTAACTGTGCCTATATGTATGATTGTCAGCAGATCACCCATGCTGCTTTGATAACGCCATTCTTGTGTGTTCTAAAAGGATTATATTCATCTGAAAGGTATGTCGTTTTTTCTATTGCATTTCATGCCAAAAAATAGAATACATCATTCCGTTATCACTGATGTCTCAGTTGTTGTCATTATCATATTTCAGTAGCACCATGAAACAGAAGATCTCATTAGGTCATCTTCAGTAGTGCTGAAAAATTTAAGTACTTCTGAACGAAATGAAGGGTATTGAGATACAGATGTCATTGGAGCAACAATATCACAGTTTCTTGAGTTTTCTTTCTCTGGTTGTCAGTGGCTATGGCCTCAGAGAAGCCGACTGGACATCAGGGATCTTCAGAGGAAGACTTTGGGCCCCATCTTCCCTCTTTCAGGCTCGTATCACAGAATCATGGCTGTAATGGATGCAGCATCCCAAGCCTTTCCATCGACTCTGGCACATACTCAGTGGAGCCCTTCCATCTGCTTGAGAGCAGTGAAGGTGATTGTTAGTGTTTGGATACTATCACATGTATTTTCTGAGAGTGCAGCTGTAATTACAGTCATCTTACCTGTGTCTATTGCTTTAGATTTTACATCAGAAAACAGGACTCTGTGTGATTGTGCTGATACCAATGGCTTTTCAGAGGAAGATCTCCTGAATGTAACGTTTGAAGCGTGTGACACTGCTGGCAAAGGTACGGTTTCCTCTTTAAACAGTACTATAGATGCACATCTTACCATTCAAAAGTTTGGGGTCTTTTATTTTATTTTAATACTTTTATTTAGTACGGATGCAGTATACAGTACACAATAAATTGATCAAAAGTGACTATCTAGACATCACACACACACACACACACACACACACAAAATATACTGTAAGTACATACATTATTAAAAATATATATTACAAATGACTTAGCTTTTTTTTTTTCCAATTTACTCGTATTGGCTGTTCTTTAAAAAATGCAAAGTCTCTAATTTGTAATATATATTTATTTATAATTACATAAATAAGTGACCTTTCCATTTGTTAAAGAATCCTGAAAAAAAAAGTATCACCGTTTCCACAAAAACGAATTGAAAAAATATTAAGCACCAGCTTTTTTCAACAGTGCTAATAATACGAAATGTTTCTTGTCAGCATATTCATGTTCAGATCATGTGACACTGAAGACAATCAAGTAATGATGCTGAAAATACATTACAAAAATTGCATTAAAAAATGACATTTAATTGCATATGGGGTTTTTAATACGCTGAACTGTGTATGTCTCTGTTACCTACAGGAGAGGTTCAGGCCTCCACTGTGGTGCAGTATCTTCAGTCCATGACGTTCCAAAGCTCCGGCCAGGACAAGCTGACCAATTTACGACAGATGCTGGACCCAGAGAACCAGGATCCACCTGTTAGTAGAGATACGTTTCACGCCACCATGAGAGAGTGGATCGCCCAGTGCTGCCAAGATGGGTGAGAGATACAGACAAAAGCATTTATATGACGTGATGTAAGATGAGACATTATAAAGTGTGCTAAACATTGATTTACGTATAGGGCTTCTGAGGATAAAAAACAGGAAAAAGGATCAACCTTAAGAAAATTATCTATAACTGGTAAGTGAATAATAGTGAACGCTTACGCACCCTTTAAAAGTTTGGGGTCAAGAATATTGTTTTATGTTTATGAAAGAAGTCTCTATTATTGTGAAATATTATTACAATTTAAAACAACTGCTTTCTGTATGAATATATTTTAAAATGTAATTTACTCCTGTGATGAAAGCTGAATTTTCAGCATCTTTACTCCAGTCTTCAGTGTCACATGATCCTTCAGAAATCATTCTAATATGATTTTGTGCTGAATAAATATTTCTGTTCTTCTTTTTGTGGAAACTGTCATTGTGACTTCTGATCAAGTTAATACATCCTTGCTGAGTTATAACATGTGACATTTTAAATTTTCATCTTAAAGCAGTCTCACATTGTTCCCATAGGGACTGAATATCATCTTCCTTTAAACGAGGCCACATTTACAGATGGAGCTGAATATCATTGGTCAGTTAAGTGATTTTCTTTGTTTTCGTACTACATTTTAAAGAGCCCAGAAATGGCTTGACAGGTGCAGTTTTCTGTCTTTTATTTATGACATTTATAGATGGACTACAAGCCTCGTTTTGATTTTGTTGGGTCTTTTAAGAGCACCTGTGTTTTCAGCAGTAGTCTGATGATTCTGTGTGGTTTCAGTGAGTCTGGAGATCTGTCAGGTTTAGTGTCTGAGCTCAAACACACCCAGCACAGGTTGAGTGAGCAGAACAGCAGCCTGCTGAGGACCGTTTCTCAGTGTGAGGACACCATCCTGCAGCTCAGTCTGGAGGTGTCAGAGCTGCACACCAAACTGGCCAGGTATCCACTATATACACCTCTCTTACCACAAATATATCTGTGTGTGTGTATATGCAGAAAAATATGACTCGACAGATATCAATGGAATGTTCTCTACACTAAGTACTAAATTAAATATATTAATATATTAAATTAAAGGAATAGTTGTAGATGAGTTTGTTTCTTCATCTGAACACATTTGAAGAAATTTAAAGTGCCCATGAAATCAAAATTAAAGTTTTTTGGGTGTTAGTATCAATATGTTAGTCTTAAGGTGATCTATAAGGTAGTGTGCTCCAAAACAGTGACAAAATGCGCATTTAGAAGAAATAAGCATTCAAAGCTTGCTGTTCGTCACTTCCGCCAAAACGGCTCAACGTTTTTTTTGACGTCACATCGTACTTCAGCTTCTCATCAAACTTTCTGTCCAATCAAATGCTCTCTAGAATCCGAAGCCCCGCCCCCTACACTATAAAATAGACGCTGAAGCCGCGGCTGAAATAGGTCACTTGTCCACAGAATTAGTATTTTGTGTACAGTGAATGGCACGTAGTGCACTATATAGCTTTGTAAATATGCTTTCCATTGAGGAAAAAAAGAAGTCTGGTTTCGTTTTGTGTCAAGCTAACCACCACACCACGCACACACTCTGCTCCGGTCCAGAGACACGATAGCACGGAGCGGATCACATGCGCGAGTCGGCGCAGACCACAAAATGTATCGGAGCTATTTGAATT